CCTCACTCAGGATGGTTTCTTCCAGTGCTATCCATTTCCCTGCGAATTTCAAGATTCCATTGTTTTTTTCTGCTGAGTAATACTCCATTGTGTAAATGTACCACATTTTCTCTATCCACTCTTCAGTTGAGGGGCATCTAGGTTGCTTCCAGGTTCTGGCTATTACAAACAATGCTGCTATGAACATAGTGGAGCAGATGCCCTTGTTGTATGAACCTGCCTCATTTGGATAAATGCCTAAGAGTGGAATTGCTGGGTCTAGTGGTAGATTAATTCCCATTTTCCTGAGGAATCTCCATACTGATTTCCAAAGAGGCTGTATGAGTCGGCATTCCCACCAGCAGTGGAGGAGTGTTCCTCTCTCTCCACATCCTCTCCAGCATAAATTGTCTTCGGTGTTTTTGATTCTAGCCATTCTGACAGGAGTAAGATGGTATCTCATAGTTGTTTTGATTTGCATTTCCCTGATGGCTAAGGATGTTGAGCACTTTCTTAAGTGTCTCTTGGCCATTTTAGCCTCCTCTACTGAGAATTCTCTATTTAGCTCTGTACCCCACCTTTCAAGTGGATCCTTTGGTGTTTTGGAGACTTGTTTCTTGAGTTCTTTGTAAATTTTGGAGATTAGCCCTCTGTCAGATGTAGGGTTAGTGAATATCTTTTCCCATTCTGTGGCCTGCCTTTTTGCCTTTTTGACTGTGTCCTTTGCCTTACAGAAGCTTTTTAGTTTCAGAAGGTCCCATTTGTTAATTGTCGATCTCAGTGCCTGTGCCACTGGTGTTATGTTTAGGAAGTGGTCTCCTGTACCAACTCATTGAAGAGCATTCTCTGCTATTTTTCCCAGAGACAGGGTCTCTGACTTGAATAAAGCTCACCATTTCAGCTAGGTATAGCTGGCCAGTCAGCCTTAGGAATCTACCTGTCTCCATTCCCCTAATGTTGTGGGGATGGGCACATGCACCTGGGTGCTGAGGACTCAAATCTAGGTCTTCACTGTTAAAAAGAAAGGAGGCATTCTTGCTCACTGGGCCATCTTTCCAGTCCCTTAAGTCTGATTTTCGAAGTTTAACATGCTTAACTGTATCTCACAAGGGAGGTAAGAAATACAGTCCCCTTTTGGATTTTTCAGTCATATGTGACAGTACCAGTCTCTCTCTTTCCCGAATGCTAGTTTAGATAGACAGAGTACACTGTGCTTGCCAGTATCTTTCCTTTGATTGAAACATGGTTTTGCCATTTTTGTCTATGTCATACTTGAAAACACTTTACTTCACTAAGCCTCATTTAACATCATTTGTAAATTGAAAATTTGTACTGCATCCAGGTCTGCTGGATCCACCTACAAGTAAACTTAAATTGATTGTCTGTAACTCCTGTCCCTTATATAGACATATATGTAGGTAAAACACCAATGTTCATAAAATAAAAAAATAGATCATTAACAAAAAATTTACCTAGAGCTTTCCAATATTAGTGTTACGAATAGCATAGGTCAATCTCCCTACATCATGGGATTTAATGCCTGCCATGCTTTCCAAAGAAGAAAAAATGTACGAGTCACAGTTATTACACCTGCAGGGGACACCTGTGAAGAGCCCCCCACCTCACTGTCACTCTCATCAAGGCTTTTTGAACAACTGACTTAAACTGAAACAAACATTTTTCTTTTCCCAAACAATTTGGCATTGAGTCTGAGGTCTTGAGCTAGTGCCTAAGGCTGCAACTGTATTATGTAACCAGGGAAGGACGCTATGTTATACTATGTAGGGAGAAAAGTAGAGAAAAGGAAGAAATGAATGGAGCAAGTGGCAGACAGAAACAAAGTTACTTTAAAAGTAAGTAGACCTCCATGGTTCTCGACATGGCATTCCAGCACATTCTTGCCCTTCAGTTTCATGAAGTATTCTCTAACTGTATAATTAGTTCTCTTTGTATTTACTATTTCTAGTAGCAACCAAAAAATCCTGTACTTCTGATTCTCATTAGTCAACATCAGAAATCAGGACACAAGTTCATCCACCTCTGAATCGCATCTGTTTTTTTTGTTGTTTGGTTTCCATACAGTCGATTTGGTTTCTTTGTGATTTAAATAGTTAATTGTTTTAGCATTCAAAAGACAGAATATTTCTACTTTAGTTATACAAACCTAGAATTTTCTAATTCTGTTGCAAGATTAAGAAATGGTAGCTAATTAAATTCATTTATCCTTGTTTTTGTGAGGACTGTTGCAGATTTCTTTGTTATCAGAGAGTTTACCTTGTGGGCAAGGCTGAGTCACAGGAACAGGAATTAATCAGGTAGTGAGGATGTTAATATGTGAAAGACCAAAGAGAGAAAGCTCCCAGGTGATAGAGAGTAGTCCCAAGTGAACTGCCCAATCTCAAAGTGGAGTTTTAAGGGTTATATATTTATAGGTAGAGAGGTTAAAAAAAACTGGGAGGTTATGAATAGGATAAGAGTCTGGCTGATGTCGTAGCCATTTAGAAACCATGGTGTAATACTTATTGTACATGGGAATGAAGAAGTTTCAGTGTAAGGAAGTAGTTGTAGAACTTAAAATGGTCCATATGGTAGAGAACATATTCCAGGTGAGTGTCCCAAAGGAGACTGTAGATAGAGTTGGCATTTTCTGCTCTCATATTATTTATGTACAGCTCTTTTACTGGCATATGTTGTTAAAATGACTTAGGAATATGGATGTTTTTTAAATGTTTTTATTGTAGTTTATGACAGTGGAGTAATTGTACTATCATTGAAAAAAACTATTTTTCTGTTCAAATCATTTCTGAGATAAAAATCTGTGTGGTTTTCTTACACTGTGTCATTCTCCAATTCTCTGTGACAAAAAGGGTACTGTCCAGTTCAATTCAATGCTGATATGGTCTACCTAGAGTTAGTATGAAATTACGTAACTCAAAGTGTTCACTCTTAGAAGACTGCTACCACTCCAGCCACCAATCATAAGTACTAAACTGATAAAATTCTGACCACTTGCTTATTCTGAGTTTCTGATTCAAATTCTGTCAACTGCTATAGTGGCTGTTGGTCTGTACCTCAGCAAGATACTTTATTTACATTTATAGTTACAACAGAGAGTACATGTTAAGAACAGCCAAATGGACAAAATGCATAGGGAAAAGCATAGGAGAAAGCTTCTTTTCCTTTCCTAGGGTCTTGGAGTGTTTGCTCACCCAATCTTACTCATGAGCCAAGAGATTTTAGAGTTTGATATCTAGTCTGCCTTCTTCTGGAGTATGGTGAGGGAGTTTGAAATTTCCCATCCTCTAATGACTTGTTCTCCCTGGTGACCAGACAAGTCTTTATCACAGCCCAGCTAGGATTCATAGGAGTAATCTTATTAGCCTAAACTCAGGCATGATCAAAAGGGGCTCAGAATGAATAACAAAATCCTTTCCATCATTCTGGAAATTCCAAGGCTTTTAGATGCTTGTTTTAGTCAGGGTTTCTATTACCGTGAATTAGTCACTATGGCTATGGCATCTCTTATAAAGGGAAACATTTAATTGGGGTGGTTTACATTTTCAGAGGTTTAGTCCATATTATTATCATGGTGCAACATGGTGGAGAAGCAGCAGAGAGTCCTACATCCTGTACAGGCAACAGCAAGTGTTCTGAGACATACACGAGACCTTGAAGCCTGCTTCTTCCAACAAACCACACCTCTTAATAGTGCCACTCCCTTTAGGGACCATTTTCTTTCAAACCACCACAAAGCACCGTGCTAGATCTGGGAAGGAGCTAGCCATATTCTTGTCTCACAACAAAAACACACATTGAGCCACACGGACAGCCTCAAATCCATTTATAGGCTTATCATAGTGTCTTATTTCTCTTTGGTCTTTGCTATGAGGCAAGTTGCTATTAATTATATCAATTAAACTGAATTATTGAAAAGATAGAGTAATTTTTCATTCTTTAATAATTTTACCTAGGAAGCTATATATTTCTTCTACCAACAATACACTCTTTTAAAACATTTATCTGAATGTAATAAAGGTATTACTGAATTGTTTCCAAGTTAACATGAATGTGTGCTCTACTCCTATACAAATTTCTTTTACATTTAGTCAAACATTGTTTATACTTTTACTCATGAGAAGGTACCAGATCATCACTGCCACAATTTAACACAATAATAGAGAAATGTGATCCAGAGTAAGTCATTTTAAAAGCTTGCTATTCTTTCATCATTAATAGGATTGAGGCTGTTGGTATGAAAACAATCTGGGCAAAGTTAAGATGCTTTATATTATGTGAGTACTTGTACTTATAATGCATATAACATATGCATTGCATTTTAATTTATGGACTTAAGGGAACAGTGATTAAGTAGGAGGGAGAAGAGCTTTTTAAACACCTTCTGGAGAGTGATTTCTATTCTTTGCTGTCACATCTCAAATTCTTCTTTCTCTTCAAATCCTTATTCCCTTTCTTTGAGTTTTCCTGGTACAGGTGGCTGCCATTTGTAGAGCTATCAATTTTTCTGCTCCCTTTTAAGGCAGCTATTATTTATGCTAGTTCCTGCTTATTCTTCTTTTGATTCATTTAGACAAGACCAGCTACAAAACATTTTAAACAGCTTGAGAAAAAGGTTAACTTTAGGAATCACGTGTTATCATGCATAGCCTCCAAGTTAAGGCCTGTTTGTCCAGCTCAGTTCTCAAGGATTGACTTTAAAATACTTTTAATTTGAACCACTTCTTCAGATGCCAGAAATGTGAGGATCTGTGCCCTCACAGAGTACAGGCCAGCAAGGTTACCCTGTATGATGGCCAGAAACACAAACTCTGTCACCTTCAAATGACAATGTAAAACTCACGTTATTTAGAATTGCTGTTTTGCTTCTGTTCATCACTGTTACTTATTTTACTCTTCCAAATCACTTGGTTTAAAGTCTGTATGTTAGAATTAATGGTAGGTTTTGCAGTCTGTTAAGTCATAAATTACCACTTCTTGTCTTGGTTCTGAAGGAGATTACTTACCCATTCACAAGTTTTCCACGGGATGTTCTCCAGATGTGTGCCATCTGAGCCTCCTAACTTCTTTTTCCAGTGGACGAAACTGACCCCTTGTTGAGGAAACAAAGAATGGAGAATATATACATCAACGTTCAAGCATGCAGGTCCTTAGGCGATGTTAAGATGCCGTCACACTTTCTTAGAGTCCATTTGTGTTCACTAACAATGCCCCCACTGTGGTGAGTGAGTGTATGACTGCTCTAACCCTCCTTCATGTATAATTTTATGCTAATCCTTGAATTGTTCAAGAAGCCTTTAACAATCCGCTGTCTTTTTCTGTCTTTTGAGGCATCAAATAATGTTACAATTTGGAAATCTCGTAGATGGGGGCAATTGTGTCTTTACACATTCCTGGGCTATTGGGTTTCTAATATGTTATATGTTAAGGATATGGTCCTTTCCAGTCCATTCTGGAATGCTGTAGGGATTCTCAGTTTCAAAGTGGTCCAAAGTAGATGACCATTAAGACAATGTTACCTCTAATCCAATTTCCCATAAGCTCAAACTATGGAAAGGCAAATGTTTGAACCTGTGGCTGAACTCACTCCTTTGAATACCAAATCAAGACCCTTAATGTATTATCTTAACTATTTTAGCAGGAGACTGATTGTTTGCAAAATATCTTTGGGTTGCCATTAGTTTGGGCTTAATCCTTTAGAAATATTCAGAGACCAGGTTTATTCAAGAGCTCAGAAAACTGGCTCCTCATAGCAGCTCAACTCAGCCTGTGAGATTGCTTGTGTACTTAGACTCCGTTTATTTTGATCAGGTTCACGATCAGGCGAGACAGCACTGTCAATTCAAAAAGACATTCTTTTTCAAACTATTGATCTCAATTGCTCTTGCAAATCCTTTAGTATTGGCTCTCAGGATTACTATAATGCTATAATCATTCTGTTAAGGATTCAGATTTGTGGTGAGCTAAAAGATGGGAACATCAAAGGATTGAAATGCCCTTGAAGCAATCAATTTTTCTTCATCAAATACAAATGCTGAGAAGCTGCTTTTGGCTAATAATTTATAACTGAATTAATGACACATGGCTTATTTTTTCTTGGATCGTTTTTCTCCTCTTAAATGATTTGATTTTATATTCTGGGAAGTGAATTTAAATTGCAGATTGTTTTAAACAAGATGCTTTGGAGAGTGAAAAGCTTGTTTCACTTGCTTTCAAACTATAAAGGCAATAGAAACCTCTTTCTTTGGGCTCTAAAGCAAGTTAAATCCTAACATCATATCTCTTCTGCTTTCCCTGGCAAATAAACGTGATTGCAGTTAGTATGTGAGTAGCATACACACAGAATTTTCCTTCAGCAAAAATTTCTGTTAAAATAATGAATGCTCTCGTGTGGCTCAATTGCTTTCATGTAAAACAGTCAAAAAATAAAAGTTTTCTAATAATACAATAATAAAAGAATATTAAAGCCAGTCATATATTTTTCTGCTGCTAAAATTATGACTTAAGATTTTGTTAACATATCTATTAAAAGCACTGACCATTTTAAAGACATAAAATCTTTGGAATTATTTTCATTTGCATTTTTCTCTTGGGCTCTTCCATTTCTCTGAGAATGTGAATATTTATACTCTGGTCTATGGGGAAAATCTTCTGTTTGTACTATATATTTCCATGCCACTTCAGAGCTAATCATTAAGACTACATATAAAAGCATTCTAGGTAAGATATAAGTATCATTCAACAGCAGAGTGCAAAAATATCATGCATGAGTTTAACCTAAGTTTATGTGAAGTATTTTTAATAGATAAACTGAATTAAAAATTAGATATTATTAAATTATAAGATAACAAACATTGATAGCATGACCAAAATTGTGTAAGAATAAATTAGTTGAAAAACAAGATTTTAAAAAGCATCTTAGCTATATTTATTTACAGGTAAAAATCAACTTCCTCAATAATATGTTAATATCTATTGAAATTTGCTTACGTTTGCCAACAGTTTATGAATGATCAAAATTTGGTTTTGTTAGTATGGTCTGAGCTACTATTTAATGATAGTATAACTATATTAAAACACTCTTAATGAAGATTTTCTACTTCACATCATCTCTTTGTGTTCATGTTTCTATTGCCAAGGGCTGGTTTTGACATACAGCAGGTTCTCAGAAAAATAATTGTTGGGGTATTAAAAGTAGATCTTCTTTGGATATGCATCAAACATGACAAGTTTTGGGTCAAAGTACTATTTAAGATTTTCTGATCACATGAATTCAAAAAGAAAACTCTCCTTAGTCGGACTGAGTTGGTGTCAATTTTCTTTTAGGGGTGGAGATCACGGAGATGCAGCTCTACCTCTGTTGTGACAGGAAGGAAAATGCAGGCTGTGCATGTTCCCTTAGACTGTGAGTAAGGAATTCCAAATTGTATTTTTGGATCATAGACTGATTTTACTTGAAAAGACTTCTCTTAGTTTACAAAGTTTATGGTTAGTATTCCTAAATCTTATTCTTCCCACCTCAGTACCTGCAACAATCATCAATTTTATGTCATTTTAAAGACTGGTCTGGTTTCAAATTTACATTTTCTGAAACAAAATCCATGTCTAGATAGGGTTGATTTAACACTGTTATGAATTCTTTAAACATTTACATCTTACTTTTAAAGTTTCATTTTGTTTTATGAGCATTTCTATTGTGCTTGCTTTTTTATGTAACTTTTCGCTCCTTCTGTCTTTCTGCCTTTCTTTCTTTCTTTCTTTCTTTCTTTCTTTCTTTCTTTCTTTCTTTCTTTCTTTTTTGTTGCTGAGTTTCTCAGTGTTATCTGCCTTAATCTTTGTAAACCCAGATTTATCTAAGACCCTGGCAGAATGTTGATTGTCCTTTGTGTCATGTGGTGTTTATCTAGCTTCAACAGTTAATACTGTTAGTGTTAGTAAATAAGTACAAGACCGCTTGCTTTATAAATACTGCCCCCACTTTTATGCAGGTGTTGAGGGTAACATAAGGCACTCTGTCTCAGGATAACTCAGTTATCTTTTAAATAGAAACTGTCGGCAACTAATACACTCACAAACTTACAACATGCAGGTGTGTGTGTGTGTGTGTGTGAGAGAGAGAGAGAGAGAGAGAGAGAGAGAGACAGAGAGAGACAGAGAGAGACAGAGACAGAGACACAAAGAGACAGAAATAGGGAGAGACAGAGAGAGACACACATAGAGAGTTACCTTTGCTTGTTGTTATATTGTGACTGGACAAAACCCTAAGTAGAAACATGTATAAATTATAGATCAGAAATTGGCTCCAGTAAAAGAATGGTGTTTTCCTTCTTGTAAAGTATGACCCATTGTTTCCTGATTAGTTTTTCATGTACTTCAAACATACATGCTACCCACTGGAACAGATGAAAAGCATACACAGGAGTCACACACATTGTAGTTACAAGAAGCAGCTTAGTCTATTTGTCTTTTAACTTATATTGATTTTTCTACCATCTAGGAGCAGAAACTTAATGACAGGGATCTTAAGCATGGTTTCACAGAAAGGAGCTGACTTACCTCCAGAAACAATTTCAGAGGGTGAACATCACTGTAAAAGAAATGCTTGACCTGTAACTATCGGACATCAAGCCTAACCTTCCCTGGTGTCTATCTGTTCCTATGTCCTTGCATGTCACACACACACCCTCTAGCTCAGTGTTCTTGGTAGTGTGGTTGGTATGGTTTAAAGTAAAATCTAAAGTGACTTAAATAGAATTGAGAAATCTACTATATGTATCTATGTATATAGTTTAGTGTAACAACCTTGTTGCAAGTTGTCCCTTTATGGTAAACACTGTGTCAGTCTGTTCTGAGAACATATTTAAGCAAAGAGAAGATGAGAAAGAAACTGGGAAGTAAACTCTTTTCTTTCTACTTTGAGATTGCTCTCCTTTTCCAGTAGTTGCTATTAGAGTTCTGTTTAGGAAACTAAGATTTTTTCTCCCCAATACTGACAGATTTGATTTCTACAATGCCCATTTCTGTGAAAAGAGGAAATGACTGTATTTTGTCAATGAATTCAGAGAAATAACAACAAATTTCACTTCACAAAATCAGTTTATTTTATCTTTCAAGTTTCAAGGAACAAAGACATGTTCTGGGACCTCAATGGTGGGGTTTTACTAGGACCCCCAGAGGAAGGTAAGGAACTTTGGAAGGATTGAGGCCTGGACAATCTCCAAAGTAACATGGAAGCTGTAGCATTTGCATATTTCTGCAGCTCCCTGTGCTTTTCTGATTTTTCTTTTGGCTTTATGGATCCAGTTAATGCCCAGAATGTAATTATGTCTATGGTTTTCAAATACTGTGCAAACATTTTAGAAAGCTTATATCCTATACCTATCTGAATAGGTTAATAAGTCCTATAATCTAAAGTCCATATGCCAATCATCTTCAAAGTTGAGAATAAATAATGAATTTGTTCATTAAATTGAAATTCTTTTTCCAAGGAGGAGTACAAAAGGACTAGGAAATACTTCAAGAAGACTAGGTCAGAACTCTGTAAAGGTAACATGCATACTCAAGATGTGACGAGTGAAAACAAGAATAGTGGATTCAGGGCAGGGGCATAGGTGGCAGCTGTGGGTGTCTTGGGGACTGTGTAGTCAGCTTTGCTTCCTGTACTGAAGCCATAACTATGGGAAAGGAGGACTTTTACTCTTAGTATGAGGGATCTAACCCAGTCTCATGCATGATAGGCAGGCACTCTGCAACTAATCCAGGAAGTATTTAAGACATTTTATTGTACAATATTTTGCCAACCTTTCTGTGCCACATGTATTTTCTGAAGTTATCAAATGAAAATTTTGTTCTTAAAATCCATTCACTGGTGGATGGGCTCCCAAACCATCTATATTATTCGAGTTATAATTCCTTTGAATTTGACACTCTGAGTTAAAAGACAATAGTCGAGCACCTACTATATTCTACTTTTGACATATTACTTTAAAAATTAATGCAACAGCATACATGTAAGTCTCAGAAAAGAAAATTATAAGCTAAGTATTCTCAAATTTCAGCTCATTAGAGTAATCAGGTGCATTTCTCAAACTT